CAGCTCCTGCCTCCTTGTGGTGTCTAACAGTCACTGTTCTCTAAATCTGCCATTTTGAATAAGTCCTTTAAATGTGCTTAAGCCCTTCATGTTTAATTTACAGATGACTTCAAAACAGCAAGAGTACCTGAGGTTGGAGAATACCTGGATGACCGCAGTCAGTCTTTCAGAGATGGCGGCGGAAGCTGCATACCACACCGGTAGGTTCCAGTTTTCACTGTGGAGGTGCCACTGGAGTTCTCTTCTGGGGGTAAAATGAGAGATTGGATTAGATGGTCTAGAGCCCATGTGGCTCTAACTTGGTGAGAAAAGGTCCCCATCTTATTTGCACAATGGGGACGACTAAACCCCTGGAGACCAAGCCAGTAGAAGCTAGATGGTCAGTATCTAGAAAACTACTGCCAACTGGAAAATTGGACTGCCTTCAAATAGTTTTTAAACATTTTATTATTTATTTTATAACCTAGATAATTTATGAATAATGTTTGTCCATTTCAGGCTTTGTGGTAAGCATTTTATAGATACTTTTAATTTAAACATCCACAGTTTCCTTAAAGTAGGACCTATTGTCATTCTCACCTCACAGGTGAATAAACTGGCGGGTGGGGGGTGGCAGAGGGGTAACTCACCCAGGATGCTGTGGCACAAGCAGCCACACTGGGGTTTAGGCCCAACGGTTGAGCATCGACCTATGAACCAGAAGGTCACAGTTTGATTCCCATTCTCTCTCTTTCTCCCTCTCTGAAATCAATAAAAGTATATATATATATTTTTTAAAAAATATTTTGAGAGAAACCTGACTGGTCCATGGTCCCAAAAAGGTAGCTCACAAATTACAGCCCAGGACCAGCTCTTATTAAGAAACTGGTATGTTAAAACACTTCTTTTTCTATTTCAGGATATCAGACTTGGGTCTCTAGCGCCAAATTTTTAAAAGGGTACAAAAAACTTTTTTTTAAAAAAGTAAAAGCAAAGCCCTAACCTGTTTGGCTCAGTGGATAGAGCATCGGCCTGTGGACTAAAGGGTCCCAGGTTCAATTCCGGTCAAGGGCATGTACCTTGGTTGCGGGCATATCCCCAGTGGGGAGTGTGCAGGAGGCAGCTGATCGATGTTTCTCTCTCATCGATGTTCCTAACTCTCTATCCTTCTCTTTTCCTCTCTGTAAAAAATCAATAAAATATATATTAAAAAAAAAGTAAAAGCAAAAAAGACTTCTTAGTTAACTAAAACCTGAGGAATCAGATTCTGAAGACAGGTCTGGCATGGTAGTGGCAGTGGAGGTGGAGTGGGACTCCCAGGCCACTCAGCCAGGCAGGCTTAAATCTAGCAGAGGAAACAGGAGAGGATGTAAGCATTATCTGAAAAAAAACAGGCATTTCCAAGATTTAAAGGGCTCACAAAGACTCTAAACAGATTCAGAATGTAAAAATCCTAAAAAGTATAGGAAAAAAGTAGATGTACTTACAAAGGAAGTATAATCAGACATCAGTCTTCTTATAAGCAACCCCAGATGCAAGGTGATAAACCAAATATCATTAAAATGTGAGCATGAAAGATATTTTCAGGCATAAAAAGACTCAAACTTTACCAAACACGTGTTTTCTGGAAAAACTCTATGAAGAAAAATTACAAGCAACTGAAATACAAGAATAATGAATAAAATTTAGTAAAACTTGTCAGAAGTTCTGAGTTTTGAACAAATTTTTATTGAACCAGTTTTTAAAAAATGAATAAATTTGGGGAAGTGGAAGCATGCTAAGCCTTCTTACCTTTTTTGGGAAGAAGAGGGACATTGGCTTATTAGATACTGCTAAACACTGCAAAGAGAATGGGGGGAAGGGACAGAAAAGCAGAGCAGTTGAGAAGAAGTGAAACCTATTAGAAAAGGCAAAGCAAAACAGAGGAACAACATCAAACATCAGTAATCACGATAAGAACATTAAATTTACTGTTATTAAATGATGCTTTAGATTATGTTAGAAATAATTTCAGCTACAACTGTTTACATAGGCACCTAAAACAAAATGGCATAGGAAAGTTGAAAGTTATAAAAAGTGAACCACAAACAAAAAGAGTGTTACCCAAAAACGCTGGCAGAGCCACGTCAGAATCAGAAAAAGGATTCAAGACAAAGCATTAAAAGGGACAGAACAATTCATGGAGAAGATACCAATCATGAGATACCTGGTATTCAGCTTTACACGCATCTCAGACTCGCTGGTCAAGACCAAAACAGTTAAAACTAAAAGGGTTGGAACAGAATGATTTTTCAAAGCTTAACCAAATATATATACTAAAAAGAACATTTTGTTTACTTTCCACACACATTCTTTTCAAACAAATAGAACGTGCACAAAAACTGATTTTGTGCCAGGTGACAAAGACTCAGCAAATTCACTCTCCTTCCCCACCAAAATTAAAAATGGAAAGTTAAATATATTTAGAACTGTGATGATAAATGCAGGATATAGCAGACCCAAGAGCTGTAAACTAATTGGCTTTAAAGAGAAATTGACATGCAAGTGTCATAAATACAAAGAACAGCAGCATGAATGACAGGTAATGTTCACTGTATGAACATTCTAAGTTACTTTTAACTTAGAACTTAGAAAAAAAGCAAAATAAATCCACACAGTGTAAGAATAAAGGAAATAAAACGTATAAGAAACCTAAAAAGAAATAGTCCAAAAGGTAAAATTTGGTTCCTTGAAAAGAATTTAAAAATAAGATTTGGCACGTGTGGCTTTTTAGTGAGCAAAAGCAACGTCAGAAAGAGCTGTTATTGTTTTGAAGGTTTTTTACATTGTATGAGAATTCCAAATTGACCCAAGAAGTAAAGAACCCCCCAAAAAAAGACCAATCACCATAAAAGTTGAAATAGTATTCAAAGATTCTGTGCCCCAAAAGTAGACACTAAGCCCAAGCTGCTTTGTGGAGAGTTTTATCTCCTCTTCTAGAAACATAATTCCTGTTACCGAAAGCGTACCAGTCATAGAAGATGATAAAAAAACCTCCTATTATAATGTATAAAGCCAGCACAGGCCTGATCTAAGACGATTAGACCAGCACCAAGACAAAAATATAGTTCAGTGTCACAAATACAGATGTAAATCAAGCATAGCTATTCACCCTCAGAATACAGTGATAATCCAGCACTGGAAAAAACTGCCAACATAATTCACTACTTGGTCATGTACAGTAAAGGTTTTTAAAAATCCACCCGTGTAATCTTCTCAATGTATGCCCCAAAAGCCTTCAGTAAAATGTGGTACCCATTTATGATGTATAAGTACAATTATGAATAGAGAGAATTTTCTTAAATGATAAAGGTTGATCCTACTTAACAGTGAAATATGAAAAGCATTTCCATCAAGGTCAGAAATGAGAGGTGGATGCCTGTTAACCACTACCTTTCAGCATTGTACCGGAGGTTTTCATTAATGCAGTAAGATAGAAAACCACCCAAATCAATAGATAATAGGTAAATATGCCTATCTCGTGATGAACTACACTAGCAACAGGTAAAAGAAATTATAGAGCTCAAAAAACATTTCTAAACAAAATTGCAAAAGACATTCAATAAATACCTTTTGTGCTATTATGTAAACTTACAGTAATATTTCTCCAAGCATTCCATATGTATATGGCCAATTTTATTGGTGGTCTCTTAATTTATCAAAAAGAAATTAGTATTTGTGTATTGAAATTAAGCATCTATTTTAAGAGCTAGGTAGCTATAAAGATTGTGGGAATTGCATGTAATAATTATAATGATAGCTGCTCATAGCTGGAGAAATATGCTAGGACTTTGACAATAAAAAGTAAAATGCACACCTGAATGTGGAATTCGAGTTCTCTGCTCTGCAGACAGAAGGCTGGCAGGGAGGACGGACTCAGATGACAAGCATGGAGCCCCGGCTTTCCTGCGTCCACTCGCACCTGCCCTGCAGGCTGCTCAGCTTAACTGTCCCATCTCTTGGCAGGAGCAGATCAGGCCTCTATAACCGCCAGGAATCACATTCAGCTGGTGAAGTCGCAGGTGCAGGAAGTGCGCCAGCTCTCCCAGAAAGCAGAAACCAAGTTGGCAGAAGCACAGACAGAAGAACTCCGTCAGAAAACACAGGAGGCGGATGACAGGGCTGAGCCGGAACAGGAGGCCTACCTGCGTGAGGATTGAGGGCCTGAGCCGCTGCGCACGTCCGCCCACTCAGCCTGGGGTCGGCCCGGCTTTCTCTGCACGGAGAGGAGGCGCAGGTCCTGCCCTGGCCCATCAGGCCAGAGGCATTTTGTGAGCTGTGAGTGCCTGACCCCTGAACCCTGGTCTCAGGCTTGTACTGGACCTGGTTCTTAGTCCGGGGCACTGCAACCTGTTTACCGTTGCACCCCACTCAGCACAGCTGCCCTCTCACCCACCCACCGATTGTTTTACTTCCTGCCCAGAGCATCTCACCAACCTGGCCAGAGGCCTTTTCTGTCATGCCCACAAGTTCAGTAGCTGTTTTAACCTCATTTCCAAACTTATTCAAATAGAAGTTAGTATTTGCTCCCTCCATAGGGATGTGAGTTTTGGGGGCGAGGGGAGCCTGTTCTCTTTGTAAGATTTCTTTTTAAGTGTTTCTAATGCCTTCTCTGACCTGGCCCCCTGGCCCTGCAAGGACAGCCCTGGCCAAGCAGCCAAAAGTCCATTCATTATTCTTAAGGGACTGAATGCAGAGTGTTTACCTGGTACTTTCAACAGGACTTACTCCAACACCTGCTTCCTGTGTCCTCCTTTCCTTTGAGTTTCTCTATTGTATCTGAAGGAGAATAATTTTTTTTGCATTTAAAAATGAAAATGTGTGTGTTTTCTGGGGTCCTCTGCAGCCTCTCACTTTCACCCTCCTCCCCCTGACTGGCAGAATGCCAAAGGGCTCCAGGAGCCCCCTGACCCTTCACCCCCCCCCCCCCCCCCATTTGCTGGGCTTTGGGAACCATTCAACACGTGTCGGTCCAGGTTAGCCAGGTTTCAGTGTTTTTAATCAAAGTCAGAAAAGTTTGGGAGGGGGTTACAAAAACTAAGCATTTCCTGTAGACCATCATGGGTCAAGTTTCAAGTTTCTCAATTTCTATGATAGGAAAATCTACACTCAATCCACTCAGCCCACCCCTCAGAGCTGGGACAAGGGGCCAGCAGCGCACTTAAGCCCCTCATCTGTCACCAGTGCCCACATGGTCCACATCTCCAGGGGGCTGAGCCGGTGCACCAGGAGGAGCCCTCTGAACAAGCAGGGGTCCAGGGGGTCCAGGGGCTGCCGTATTCCAAATGTCTTGAAGCCAGCGTGGTGCATGGGGCTCACCCCCAGCTTCCTCAGGCACATACCCACAAAGACGTCATCGATGGGGAAGAGTTCGGCCTCTTCCACGGCTGCTCGGAGGTGCTGCACGGTGGCTCTGGACATGACATACCCGCCACCCCCGGCATAGGGCGGGTAATGGCGGGCCCTGTACATGGAGGGTGGGATGAAGTACTTGACCTTGGTGTTCCTGTTGGGCAGAGCCTGGCGGATGACGTCTCCCACCAAGAGGTCCTGGGCTGGGTCCCAGCCGTCCAGGAACTCCAGGACATTGGGCACGTGGACAAAGACATCGTCATCTCCCTTTAGCATGAAGTGGGCCTGGGGACAGGCAGCCGCCGCCCAGCGCTGCAGGTGCAGCTCCTTGAGCGTCAGGTTGAAGAAGTCCTCAGTGAAGTCCCACTGGAGGATATCGTCAAACTCGCGACTCTCATAGGCCAGCAGCTGGGCAGGGGGTGCGGGTCCTGCCACCCCTAGGAGGAACACCAGCTTCAGCTGCCGGCCCCCAGCCCAGTCTCCCACCCGGCCCCACGTGCTGCGGATGGCCGCACGCCGCTCCACATGGCCAGGCTGCGACTTGATGGCCAGGAGCAGAAAGACGTCCTCGGCACAGCCTGAAGGTTCCAGCAAAATGGAGAAATTGCGGCAGTGGCGATAGGTCAAGAAGAGACGGTGCCGGCTAGGCAGGGACAGGGAGGCATTCGCCACAGTGTGGTTGGGTGGACAGTGGCTGCGGCGGGGCCCCGGGGGAGCCCAGAAGGGCTGGCGGGCGGTGGGGACCCCTGCTGGCTTGGCCTCCTTCTTCAGGAAGAGCAGGCAGCTGAGCAGCAGCACAGCGAGGCTGTACAGGACCAGCCAGCCCAGCCTGCGGAACATGGCAGGGCCTGCAAGGAAAGAGCCTGTGAGCGGGCCCAGCCTGTCCCGGGACCAGCCTCAGCCTCCACCTTCGCCTCCCTGGTCCCGAGAGCAAGTTACCCACACCCTGCACGCCTCTGGGAGTGCTTTTATTTATTCTTTTAAGCATGTCTTCTAGCTCTTTCCAGAGTCCCTCTCCCAGAGGACAGACTGAGCTCACCTGCTATGCCAGCCCTTGCCTGCCTTCTGTCAGCAGAGGGCTCTTAGGCCAACTTTCCCCCAAATGACTTGCAGCCACTTTAGAACAGGCGCCATGAGCATTTTCAGCATTTCCCAGGAAACTCGAGTACCTTGCATGCTTTAGAGGAACTGGCACAGAGCTAGTTTAGCTTCGGGTTAAATTCATTCTAAGGACTGAACATGACAATCTGGGCTCTTACATCTAAATCAAAACATTTCCAAGAGTCTGGAGTCTGCTCTGTAGGTGGCAGGCCCTGTGTTGGGGGTCTCAGCCCCAGCAGAGCAGCAGATGGAGCCACCACTGAGCACCCCCTTCAATCTGCTGAGGTGGCCTGGGTTCTTGGGTTCAACGGGGTTTTAGGGACAAAACCCACGCACAGGAGAACATGGAAGCAAGTGGGAAGCTGGAGACGGGTGCCAGGGGTGGCTCGTAGCACTTCCAGATCTGGATGTCTCAGGTGCCCAGCAATGCAAAAAGGAGGCCAAGGAGCGCTAACCAACAGGCACGTGCCCAAGTCCAGAATAGCAAAGCCAGGCCTCAAAGCCTCCTCTTCGCCACGCTGTCCTGGTCCGACAGGCCTCCCCGTCTACCCACGTTAGCCTCAGCCTATTGTCCCTGCCGCTGCACCCCCACAGAAGCTGCCTTCTCTTCCAGCTGCCAGGGGTGCGGTGGCAGGCAAGACAGGCAGGGTCCGAGCCCCCAGAGACCCTGAAAACCAGAGTGAACTTCAGACAGCGCCGGGACATGACAGCAGGGTCAGGAGGCCAGGGGCCGGGAAGGCTGTTGAATACCGCAGTTTAGAAAGCCACCTTGATAAAGGACACGGGCAAGAACTGGGTAAGGGACCAAACCACAGAGACATCTGGAGAGCGTGCACCAGGCAGAGGGGACAGTTACCTGCGCAGCCCCTGAAGCCGGAGAGCAGTGGCTGGATATGGAGGAGGAAGGGGCAGAGGTGAGGGAGGGGGCTGCGGAGGGCTCGGGCGTTACTGTGGGCGCCTGGAGAGCCACTGGAGGGTTCAGTAGAGGCAGTAAAAGAATTTACACACGTTCACTGCAGCTGCCGCTTAATGGATCCGGGAAGAGCAAGAGTGGAAACAGGAGACCAGATGAAAACTCCTTAGTGGGGGCCCAGGACGCAGCCTGGCTAGGGTGGGTGTGGCTACGGAGCGGGAGAGCTGGATGGGTTTCAGGTGGGAAATGGGTTTCAGGTGTGGCGGGCAGGCAGGCTGTTAGTGACGGGCCCCGGGGGGTCGTGTGCCAATTACGGAGCAGGTGCAAAGCAAGCGGCTTGGTGTTGTCGTGCGAGTCTCAGTAGCCGGGGCTGGACTGCGCGAGGGACCTATGACCCCTCTGCCCACCACTCTCCACGGTGCCCAAACCCTCGGCGGCCTCCACTGCCCGAGCAACAAGTCCGCACCGCAGTGACCGGCAGCTTCTGCTCCGTCCCCTCCCCACCCCCCCGCACACCTGGGAATCCCACGCCAGGGCTGCGGGCTCAGAGGCTTCCCCTCCCCACGCCTGGTTCCTAACCTGCACCCGCTCAGCGAGTGCGCGACCCCCGCTAAGTGGGTGCTGAGCCCCAGGGTGTGTCACTGTTTCTGGGATGACAGCTAACCTGACATGCCACGACGAGACAAAGAGCCAAAGCTGGTTCATTCCTCCACGCGAGTCTACAGGGCTGTTGCGGGACCGCAAAGCACGGACCAGGAGCCCGCGGTGGACACCCCTCTGGGGCTGAGCGGACGAGCAGCGGCGCCCCGCTGCGCACAAGGCACCTTTCCCCGCAGCGGGGCTCCAGGCGCCCCGGGCGGGCACGACCCGCCCCTCGCGGACCTACCTGAGCCGCGGCCGGTCAGGCGCAGGCGAGGAGTGAAGCGAGCAGCTCAGGCAGAGGCGCCGGGACCCGGAGCATCAGCCGCACGCACCTCGCTCCGCTCGGGCGGTGGGCGGGGCCCGGCCGCGGCCTCTTTTGTGCGGACCACGCCCACCAGTGGGCGGGGCTTCTGGGCGGGCCCCCTCCCACCTGGGTCTCCAGGGCCCAGGCGCCCCCGCGGGCAGGAGAAGCCGCCCCGCTCCCGCAGCGCCCGGCTCCCCGACGCGGGCAGACAGACGCGGGGCTGCGGTCGTCAGAACCACCTTTAATGCGGCTACACGACCAGGGTCCGCAGCGCCTCCTCGGCCGAGCGGCACTGGTTCACCTGGATCTGCACCTCCACCGTCAGGGGCTCGGGGTGGTAGTCGCTCTCGTAGCCTGCGGAGGAGACCAGCAGGGAGTCCGCAGGCCGAGCGGCGGGTTCTCGGCCGCCCTGGCCGGGCTCCTGACGCCCCGAACGCAAACCCGTCCTCGCGTCCGAGGGAGCCCGCCTCGGACTCGGACTCGGCCTCGGCCTCCGGGTAAAAGTCACGCTGCACTAGGGACCACCGCACTGACGAGACTGTGCTATTCAGACGCGAGTATTTGGTAGATATTTTCTCTAAAAAAGTGAATGAAGTAAACCTGGCGCTTCAGGGACAACAACTGGAAGCATTTTGATAAATAAAGTTGTAGCTCTTGAGCTTTCAAATAGAAACCAGAACTTTGGAACATTGTATCTGCCACCATGAACTTCGTTTTCCAACACTCAGGACTGCTCTCCTGATAGGGGTGGTGACGGGGGAATGTGATGTTTTGGAAATTGTGTGAAATGTGTCCACACTTGGAAGATCGGCATAACTCAGTGACCCAGTTTTTACAAAAACCCAGCGTCTGGTGTTGGGAACTGTGCATGGGTGAGAGCCGTGCAAAATGCAGGGTCGCCCAAAGGATTTTAATGCAGTTGATTGTGAAGACATTCCTTCGTAGACTCAGCGTTCACCTTGAACTGACCCTCACAAACCTACCAGCGGGCATATTTGATGTCATGTCAGAGGAGGATACCCGCAGTCAACAGAAAGCCTACACTACACTCCTCCTTTCCAGGCACATGTCCACGTGAGGCTGGACTTCCTCACACACCTCAGCACTTCCCAGGGACCACAGGGGCAGCCATGTGTTGCCAGGTGTTAAAGAGATTTGCAAAAATGTAAACAAAATCCTGAGATTAGAACCCTGAGGGAAGAACCACCAAATAAGACTCGCACAGATAATTTCAAGATCAACCTCACCCCACAGCTCTATCACCACTCACAAGTCAAGATTTGCATGGTCTTGAAGTCCAGCAGTATAAATCCTTTTGTGCTTTTTCTAACCCCCTGCCCCCATGATGTATTTTATTTTTTCTTTGTGCTTTTTCAAAGTTGTTTTGCCGACCCTATGTCCTTTGCATTTTCATATGCATTTTAGAATCAGATTTCTATTTTTTTTAATCCCTCTAGGATTATGACTGAAATGGCATTGACTCTACAGATCAATTTGAGAAAATCCGACATCTTAATATTCAATCTCCTAATCCATGGACAAGTGTACTTACCTTATACTTTTTTTCATTGAGAAAATTCATGCACCAGGTGAGGACACATGAGAAGGGCCTGGCTGTTAACCAGGAAGAGCCCCTTACCTGGCAAGGCTGGCATCTTGTTCTTGGCCTTCCCTGGCTCCAAAGCTGCGAGAAAGAAATGCCTATTGTTTATGAGCTGCCCGGCTATGGTGCCCGGTTATCGCAGCCCCGATGGGTGAATACAGGTCCTCAGTACAGACTCCCTGCCCTCGGTCACCGTCGTCGGCTCTTACCTTTTTTAGCTTTCTTAGTCTTAGAATCCTGAGAGAAGAACCACCAAATAAGACGCTCACAGAGTGGGGGGTGCAGATTCCAGTGCGTCTTGTGGGCGGCTCCCCCCTGCCAGGCCTCTCCTGGCACGGAGGCAGGGCAGGGTCTCCTAGGGAGGAGGGGGCCACCTGCCCCCTTGCCCCACGACCCCACTGGCCGTCCTATGCCTTCCAAGGCCTTGCCAACGCTGGGGCTTCTTGAGGGGGCTTGGGGCCTCCTCCCCCAGCCTGCCACCCCTACCCTCCCACGACCTGGCCCCACTGGCCTTGCTTCCCAGCACTATTTCTGTGGGGAGGGTGTGGCAGGGGCCCACGGTACCCTGAGAAATGTCAGCCTGTCGGATTCCAAGGTGCGGATCACCCCAAACGTGCACAGGGTGGACACGAGTGGATCCCCCGCCAGCAGGGGCTCCAGGACCACCAGGCCGCTGCCCAGCACCCGCAGGATGGGGGGATCCTGGCGAAGCTCCTTGGAGACCCCTCTCTTCTTCTTGGCCCCCTTCTGTTCCTGGGGGAGAGGCTGGGAGGGTGACAGGGCCCGGCCGGGATGTGCCCAGTGCCCATGGCCACTGCCCAGGGTCAGGGGTACCTTCTCTTTCTCCCCTTTGGCAGCCTTGTCTTTCCCATCTTTCCCTTTCTTGTCTTTCTCCTCTTTCTCTTTCTCCTCTTTCTCTTTCTTCTCTTTCTCCTTCTCCCCTTTTCCCTTGGCAGGCAAGGAACTGTCGACAGGAGGTGGCACCACGGGCCAGGAGAGAATCTAGGGGACAGCAAGGCGGCCGCGAGGGAACATGGGCCACGCTGAGGCCGGCTGGGGTCTTTCTGGAAAGGAGCTGAGACCACGCAAACTGGGGAGCTGGGCCGGACAGAAAATGCACAGGAAGGGGCACCGGCCTCCAGGGGGACCCCACCTTCTCCTCCACGATGGTCACGGTCGTCCCTGCCAGCAGGAAGGCCTTGAGCGGCACCAGGTCCCGGAGCGTATGCTGCATCTCATAGTTGCAGGGGATGACGTCAGCCCAGGGCTTGCGGACGGTGCTGAAGAGGACTGTCCTGGGGTGGGGGTGGGAGACACCCAGGCGTCATCGCGGGCCAGGGACAAGGCTGCGGGCACCGCAAGGAGACGGCGTGGGGCGACCCCTACCAGGCAAGCGGGGGGCCAAGAGTAGGAAGGGACCGGCACCATGAGGAAGTGGGGGCACACTCTGCATGGGGGCTTCCCTTCAGGGGTGACGGTGGATGGAAGGAAACCAGCAACGAAGCAGAACTTTTAAAAACTTCAGCAAATCCCGGGCCGGCCTGGCTCAGTGGCTGAGCATCAACCTATGAACCAGGAGGTCACGGTTCGATTCCCAGTCAGGGTACATGCCTGGGCTGCAGGCTCGATCCCCAGTGTGGGGCGTGCAGGAAGCAGCCGATTGATGGTTCTCTCTCATCACTGATGTTTCTCTCTCCCTTCCTCTCTCTGAAATCAATAAAACATATATGTGTGTACACACACACACACACACACACATATATATTTATATTTATATAATAAAGTTATGGACTGAAATACAGTAGAAGTTAAGTCCAATGAAGCAATTCAGCCCAGAGCTTGAAACCGTGTGAGGTAACTATGCAAAGACACATGTCAGAAGGGAAACGTAGAAATAAATGGAGGAGACGTGACAACAACTGATCTGTGCTACCAACAGACAGACTCTGACAAACGTCAACTGTACTCCCAGGGGGAACCTATTCGTCAGCGCTGGAACCGCACACACGCCCACTCCTCCTGCTAAAACCCTGGAAGCGCAGGCGGCAGGACAACACGAAGAGCCGCTGGGAGCAGCAGCCACCTCCCCACGCCGGTCTGCGGCCCCTCCGGGCAGCGGCCTTCCACCTGCTGCCGGTCCCACCTCCATCCTTGCTCCTCGCTGTCGCGGGGCAGGGATCCCCCCGCCCCCCACTTCTCCGGAGCCGCCCACTCCCGAACGCGGGGTGAGACTCCATCATCCCCCCCGGCCACACCCACGGGCGCCTGTTCAGGGTCGTTCAGGACGCTCTGCAGCGCAGGGGATGCCTTAGGTCAGTGATGGCGAACCTGACACGCGTGTCAGAGGTGACACGCGAACTCATTTTTTTGGTTGATTTTTCTTTTTAAATGGCATTTAAATATATAAAATAAATATCAAAAATATAAATCTTTGTTTTACTATGGTTGCAAATATCAAAAAATTTCTGTATGTGACACGGCACCAGAGTTAAGTTGGGGTTTTTTAAAATGCTGACACGCTGAGCTCAGAAGGTTCGCCATCACTGCTAGGCGGTGGGATTATTTGTGGCTCTTACTTGTTTTTATGAATCTTCCCAAAAATTACAACAAGGACCGTGGAGCAGGCTGGGACCCTGTGTCCCGCCAGCGGGGCCGCCGGCCGGAGGGTGCCCCCCCCCCCCCCCCAGCCTGCGTCAAAGCCTCAACACTGAGCGAGAGCCGACTCCGTCCTCACAAGATTCTTCACCAGAAAGGCCTTCGGCCCCAGGGACACGGCGACACGGGCTGGCAGGTCCCCGGGGGTCGGAGCCAGATCAGCTCTGGGCGAACCACAGCGCTGCCACTCGAGGGGTCCGGATGGCGCCCCCCAGCCCCGTGCGCCCGGCCCCCTTACCCCGGCGACGGGCAGAGCCGCAGGTCCATCCTCGGCCGCAGCTGCGCCAGCTCCTCCGCGGAGCCCAAGGACCCCGGCAGCGACAGCGACCCGCCCGACACCCCCGACTCCAGCTCCACCGACTGCGACGCGGACGAGGGCGCGGACTCGGCGGAGTCTTCGGCCTCCTCGGAGGTGTCGGGGG